CAGTCTCAACAAATATCTGATCGTTTGTGTTGTCTTCACTGGTGTTTTTATACGCGAACGTTAAATCTAATTTTTTCTTTCTTTCTTCATTTAAACAATTTTAACTGTTTTACCATATATGGTAATATAGCGTGAATCGAATCGAATATACATGAACCAATCGTAGCGTTCATGATACTCCTCTTCATCGTAGTAGTAATTTAATATAATCATCGTCGACAATAGGAATGAATTTCTCTATGAATCATACACATTCTTGTATAGTCATCACTATTCAGAATCTGAATATGTGCATATCATAGTCAGAATGGAATTTAAATCTTAAATTCTTAAATCATTTTAGTAGTAGATGTTTGGTATGAAGTTTTGAAAAAACCGAATGTCAGAAGAGTGCTGCAGAGGAATTTGGTTGTTAAGTTTCTTTGCAGCCTTACGGAAGCAAAGTTCTTCGCAAATGCAAACAAAATCAAAATATTGGAGTTTTTATCCAAAAATAGATGAAACCTTGAAGAACCATGCTCTTTTCTAAAAATGTTTTGAAGAGATTTGAGAAAAGAGAGCGTTCAACCTGCACTCTTCGAATAACAGCTTGATTGGAGCAATTAAACAGTGGATGATGAAAGTTCTAATAGGAAAGGAGTAAAAGAAAAATAAAGCGTGATTTAGTACTTATTTTCAGCTATCGAATACAGCAGTATGCATTATAGTGACACATTACAGGAAGAAAAAAAATAACGAAGCACAAACAACTTTTTAGAAGAAACATATCTTATCTATGACGTTTAACGGTTATACCCTTATATTAGTCTTATTCGATTGGGATATAGCTATTTGTCAGCTTAAAGATTTATACACTGATCGTGTGCGAGAGACAACGAACTTGTGCCATCTTAGTGTAGGGCTGTAGTATAGTTTTGTTCTTGAATGTCAAAACAACAGAAACTTCATCAACAAAAAGTTCCATTTATCTATTGAAATACTTGAGAAAGAAGAAATGTATAATGAACAATTCTCATATTCAATGTGCTCCATCTTTTTTCGTCCTGTTTTGCGTTGGCTGTCAGAATTTCCTTTTCAGATCTTGTAGTTATCCATTCAACAAATTAACTATGGGTATTCTTGATAAAATAGCTGATATTGAGAAGGAAATTGCTCGTACCCAGAAAAACAAAGGTAGATATTTTACTGTTACTTTAGCACTTTTTGAATTATGGTTGACATATTTATGTTAATGTAGCAACCGAATATCATCTTGGTTTATTGAAAGCTAAATTAGCAAAATGTCGACAAGAATTAATGGAACCTTCGAAAAGTGGCGAAAAAGTATGCTATTATTGGAATTTTTCGCTACTGATATCATTATGAATCACTTTTTTTCTATTCCAGGGTGAAGGATTTGATGTAATGAAATCAGGAGATGCACGTATTGCTCTAATCGGATTTCCATCAGTACGTAATCAAAAGAAAACATAACTGCTTTTATATCAAAATCGTAAAATTTTTAGGTCGGAAAATCAACAATGTTGAGTACAGTAACAAAAACGGCTAGTACAGCGGCTGCATATGAATTTACCACTTTAACATGTATACCAGGTAATTCAGGAGGACTATTCTATATCAGAAATCATTCTAATACTCAAATTTTTTCTATTTCTATCTAGGTGTTATACAAGTGAGTAAATAAGAAAAACGTGCTTTTCTCTATTTCATCAAATGTAACGTTGTTGTTTTTTTATTTTCTTACAGTATAATGGAGCTGAGGTAAGAAATTCCGTTGACACAATACCACAAATAATGATGTTCTTTCTGAACTTTTAGATTCAATTGCTTGATCTTCCTGGTATTATTGAAGGCGCTGCTCAAGGTTTGTTTTTCTCTTTCCCATCTCCAGATGTACATGAATATGAAAGTTACTCGAGTTTTCGTTTAGGCAAAGGTCGTGGTCGACAAGTTATTGCTGTGGCACGAACATCTGATATGGTATTAATGATGCTTGATGCTACAAAAGGAGAAGTACAAAAGTAAGATATTGATAAAATCGTCATTTCTTTCCCATAAATTATTAAACTTCATTTGTTTTAGAGAAATTTTAGAAGGAGAGTTAGAGTCGGTTGGTCTTCGATTGAATAAACACAAACCAGATATTTATTTTAAGGTAAAAGTTTTTAAGTAAGTCTTGACAACAAAATAAAAATCATTTGATATACCCTTCTCACAACAACGACGTTTCTTCTCTTCTGCTTTAGATAAAGAAAACCGGTGGTGTTAGTATTACTTCAACAGTGCCCATGACTAAATGTTCAGAAAAAATGATTCAATTAATATTACATGAATATAAATATCCTTTTACAATTTAATTCTATACAAAACTCTGATATGAATTTTTTTATAACTTATTAAATTTTAGACAAGAATCATGAAAATAATTATCATTTTATTAATAAATATTTCTTAACCCAGTTTTAAAGATATTTAATGCTCAAGTATTATTTCGTGAAGACTGTACATCTGATGACTTCATTGACGTGGTTGTTGGTCGAAGAGTCTATATGCCATGCTTATATGTAAGTATAATGTTAATTTGAAAGAAGAACTGTGAAAGATATTTTGTATTTCCTATTAAGGTATATAATAAAATCGATCAAGTATCAATTGAAGAGGTTGATAGATTAGCACGTTTACCTAATTCAGTGGTTATAAGGTATATTCAAATGTTGCTCTAATTTTGTTGATGTTCTATTTTATTTATTATTTTAGTTGTAATATGAAACTGAATATTGATTATATGCTTGAAACAATATGGACACTATTAAATTTAATTCGTATTTACACAAAAAAACGCGGTGAAAAACCTGATTTCGACGGTGGTTTAATTATGCGCAATGGTGTCACAGTTGATTATGTTTGTCGTGCTGTACATCGTACAATTATTGAACAGTTTAAATATGCATTAGTTTGGGTTGGTAACATTAACTATTTTTATCTAGAAAAATATTAGTTTGAATTTGATATTTCACTTTTAGGGTACCAGTTGTAAGTTTAATCCTCAAAGAGTTGGTCTTACACACGTTTTACAAAATGAAGATGTGATACAAATTGTTAAAAAATAAACAACTGGAACAGTATTTGTTATTGCTAAACGATTTGTTTTTTTGCTTGTGATGCTTGTGTTTTGAATTTCTTATTAAGAAAAAAACAAATAGAAATAGTATTGTATTTATTGTTGAACAAATTTGTCAATGGAGATTAAATTGCCTTGATTTTGAACAAAATCTCTTTCAAAATAGTTTGTTTTTTATGTACTTTATTTGTATATTGTAAAGAATTCGCCAAAAGATAATGGCTAGTAATCATGTGGAAGATGAAGAAATTATAAATGATGAATCCACAAGAAATAGTGAGATACAACCACTACTCGATGATTTCAAACGTGTAAGTATAAAGCTATTCGTTGAAGAATACTTGATATATATATTGTTATCTTTTAGCATACAACATATACGTCATTAAACAGTTATATATCTGAACCATTGTCGTCAGTCAATCCTTATACATTATTAACCGGCGAGAAACTAATATCATCAAAATATGAATCATTAGACTATGATGAAGTTGATAATGAAATAACACATATTGAAGAAAAACGCTTAGGCTATGAATATCAACGACGTATCATGTTTTTTAAATGGTTAATTAGTAGGTTATTTGTTTTAAATTGTTACTGTTAGTGTATTTCACTGCGTCTATTGTCTGTATAGGCCTCTTGATAATTTGTGTAATTTTTCGTATTTCAGTGTTAATTGTTGGTATTATTGTTGGTTTGATTGCCGTTTTCATCGATGTTTGTGTAAAAAAATTAACATATTTTAAATATTCTTACGTTCAATCACGTATGTATTCTTAAAAAGCAAATTTATCGAAACAGCAAGAATCTAAATACATTTACTATGTCGTCGTAATTTTGTTTTTAGGAATTGATTATTGTTTATCTAATCACTGTTTATATGCTCCATATTTGACTTGGATTGGAATCAATTGTATAAGTGCATTGGTTGCAGCTCTTCTTATTATTTGGGAGGTAAATCTCTTGTGTCTTTATTCAGTACTTTTCTTTTGCACCTGTAATTAATTTGTTTTTTTTTTCTCGATCAGCCAGCAGCGCGTGGTAGTGGTATCCCACAAGTGGTATGTATAAATAATTGTATGTTTAAATATAAAACTGACAATAATTTTTTATTTTTTCAGAAATGTTATTTGAATGGCGTAAAGATACCGCATGTAGTCCGGTTGAAGACACTCATTAGTAAGGTGGTTGGGGTGATTTTTTCTGTGACTGGTGGATTAGCAGTGGGCAAAGAAGGACCAATGATTCATGCGGGTAGTGTAGTGGCCGCGGGAATTTCACAAGGTATGAGCTCTTCGCTCAAATTTGATACGCATGTAAGTTGAAGATACAAGTATATAAAGGATCAACTAAATAAATGTATTTTTCTCCCTTATAGATATTCAAATATTTTCGTAGTGACAAAGATAAGCGAGATTTTGTTTCCGCTGGAGCTGCGGCTGGAGTAGCTGCAGCTTTTGGAGCACCGATAGGTAAGCAAACCGCTTTAGTTCTACAATCAAATAAGATCAAAAAACCTGTCGATATGAATGTGTATACATCATAGTTCGATAGGTGTACAGTGAGCATAGAAAAAGGATCTCCATTCTTTCTCCTAAAATCTGATCTTTATTGAATATTAAGTGTTTGTTTTATAATGGATTTTTTATAATTATTTTTAATGTTTGCTAATTGTTTCAGGAGGTGTATTATTCAGCTTAGAAGAAGGTGCTTCGTTTTGGAATCAACAATTGACCTGGTTCATATTTTTTGCTTCTATGGCATCAAGTTTCACATTGAATCTTCTACTCAGTGTTGTGAATGGACATTTTGGCGACTTATCTAATCCTGGTCTAATCAATTTTGGAGTTTTTGATGTATAATTTTAATCGATACACATGTCATACTTTTTTATAATATTGATTGTTTTGTTTATCATAGGATATGTCATATGCTTGGTATGAAATTCCCGTTTTTCTTCTAATGGGAATCGTAGGTGGTATATCCGGTGCACTTTTCAATCATATAAATATTAAAATAACGAAATTTCGCAATCATTATATCAACAAAAAATGGCTATCTATCGTTGAAGTATTACTTGTTGCAAGTTCAACGGTTGTTATTGCTTTTGTTTTAACATTTACAATAAATGAATGCAAGCCAATAAAACAATCAGCATATTCAACATATAACGTGCAATTATTTTGTCCCGGTATGTATGATTCTCATAAAAAGAAGTCTTAAACATTTTTCTCATTCATTTCAGACGGACAATATAACACAATGGCTGCACTATTCTTTGACACACCAGAAACAGCAGTTAAAAATCTTTTTCATGATGAAGTAGGTAAGTTGAGTGTTATGTATTCTTTTAACTTATTTTCTCTAATGTATTTTTTTTATAGGTTCATACAATCCATTGAGTTTATTATTGTTTTGCGTTATCTATTTCCTTCTGGCATCATGGACATATGGTATCGCTGTCTCAAGCGGTCTGTTCATTCCCAGTTTATTGATCGGTGCAGCATGGGGACGTTTGTGGGGCATTTGTGTTTTGAAAATATTACCAAATAGGGTGGGTAAATATTACCAATTATAAAAAGTAAAAAAGTTTCTTTTATTATGTTTCAGGGGGTACAACCAGCGAAATATGCCCTCATAGGTGCAGCGGCACAATTAGGTACGTTCATCTTTTCATATTATACCAAAAATTGAGCTGCTCGGCTTGTCTTTCAAATAAATTTTTCTTAATTTACTTTCGAAATTAAAGACGAATATAAGTTGTTAAATATCTGAATTGTATTTTTTAAATTTAGGTGGAATTATGAGAATGACAATAAGTTTAGCTGTTATATTAATTGAAGCAACAGGAAATATTGGATTTGGTTTGCCAATAATGATTGTTCTCACTTGTGCAAAACTCATTGGAGATTTGTTTAATGAAGTATGTTTAAATAAAACTTTGCTAGAACAAACTGATGATTGTTTTTTATTTTGTTATATTACAGGGCTTTTTTGATTCCCACATAGCACTTCAAAGTATCAACAGAACGACAAACAATAATTGTAGATAAAAACTTAATAAAATTTGATTTTAGGTGTTCCTCTTCTGCCGTTTCAACCACCGGTATTATCTTCTCAAGTTTTGGCATTGTAAGTATTCAAAAAACAGAGTTGAAATTTTATTATACTATAGTTTCACATTTATTGTAGATCAATTATGAGTCATCCAGTAACTGTGCTGAAAAATATTGAATCAGTCAGACGAATTTATCGTATTTTACAAACTGAAAGTCATAACGGATTTCCTGTGGTAAACGAATATGATCTTGCCGTACGTATTCAAAATTTTAAGAAATATAAATAATTCAGTTAAAAACTATTGTATTTTTGAAGGACAATGAAGGAGAGAGAATTAAATTTGGCATATTTCGTGGTCTCATCCTACGCCATCAACTCATAACGATATTAATGAAAAAAGTTAACAGAAAATATTAGCAATAGAAACAAGTGTAACATATTTTTTTTCTTTTTTAGAATTTTATTTCTAAAACTGATATTTTACGTGACTACTTAACATCAGATGATTTTCGTGAAACATATCCAAGATATCCATCATTAGACGTATGTAAATATTTACTTTTTTTCTTAAATCCTATATTAAGTTAAATTTGTTTAAAGAGTGTTCATTTATCAAACGATGATTTTGAACTTTATATTGATTTGAAACCATATATGAATACAGCACCTTATACAGTGACACATGTAAGCTGAATAATTCTAATTTATTTTATTCATCTCTGTTTAATTGAAATTACTTTTAGCGTTCTACTCTACCAAAAATATTTAGTCTATTCCGAGGATTGGGTTTGAGACATCTTGTTGTCGTTAATGATCATAATGAAGTTGTGGGTATCATTACAAGAAAAGATTTAGCTCGCTTTCGTATTAAACATTCAAAAGGATCTTCTTCATTGGAGGAATTGGGAATATCGAACTAAAAAATGCACATACAAATCTCGATAGTGCAATATTATGTAATGAAAATTTTTTTTTATTTACAGTATGTATGGGAAAAAAAGTGCTCAATTATCTTTTTGTTGTTGTTTTTTTTCTATTTTGTTTTATATTCAGAGTCATTTTCTTCCATTTATTGTTCTTTTTATGATTGTTATTTCTTTTGTAAATGCATTATTGTTTTTTTCAAATGATTTTTTTTTAAATCGTGTTTGCTACAGCAAATTGTACTTTTTAAAATTGATCACTACATTTTTATTTATTTTTTGAAAAAAATTATTATACAGTGATTTGTTAAACTTTTAACGTCTGTTGTGCTATAGAAAAATACTTGTCAGAATAATCAATATTCGATACAAAGGTACTTGACGAGGGCTATGGGATGGAACTGATCGACAATTGTCCAAGTTAGTCGGTCTCCAATGCTTGTGAATACCATGACATATTTCGATATTGATCATCAACCAACGGTTGAAACAGATTATCGGTTTGATGAAGCTGGTTTTGGGTTTGATTGTTGATCAATGTTATGGACGAAACATATTGATAAATGTTTTCTTTTCTTAACGCTAAATTCGTTTTGTTATGTACATTATGTTGTATCCTATTCAGAAACATTCGAAACGAAAGAAAAAACAGTAGAATTTGATCGTATATAAAATTAGATTTTTTACGCCGTTTTTTCTTAAGAACACCAAGAATAGCCAGAATTCAAGGTATCAGTCTTATCAATTTTAACTTAAGAGTTAAAAATAGCGTTTGAGAATTATCCTCAGAACGTGCAGAAGAAATCTATTACAATCAGGATAATGAATGAAAAAAATAATGAAAAAGTAATAATCATTCTTTTCTTGATTTTTTCAACTATAACAAAATGACACGTCAAGATTATTTTCTGTTTTCAATTAGTTGAAATGTATCAGTCGAGAAATCTAACACAAAATTGAAGGTCGTGCGAAATATACTAGTTTTACTATAGAGATAATCTCGTTATATTGGTTAATTTCTCTAATTATAATAATGGTCCACATTTCAGTGTTGAAATTGTATTACTATTGGCATTATAGTTAGTCACTCTTAACAACAATGAGGGTTATAAACGTACTCTTTATGTGTACTTGAATTTGTAAGTATTCTCTTTTTAGTTTTAAGATGAATATTGCTTCAAGCTATTCGAATATACTTACCTATTTTTCTTTATCATTAAAAGTAATTTGGTATATTAACTTTACGTTTTACATGATTATGTTAAAATATTTTATCAAGTCAACGGAATGCAAACTACGACACAATTTTAAAAATAGTAATAAACATTGTTCGACTATTGTATCAAATATATTTTTTAATCAGTCTAAAAGTTTTATATATTGAATTTTGAGATAACATTTCTCTCTTTGATTGATATAATAGTTCTAACAATAAGTTAAAGTATTCATGAAATTTTCCTGTAGGAGGAGTTAAAAGGTAGGAGTTAAAAGATTAAATAAATCAGATTATCCCTGGGGAGATTTTCCCGACAACCATCTGGAAATGCATAGAATCTACTTTACGACGTTTTAGAATTTTTGAATAGTTGACACCAGCTATGCTCATTCATACAAGATCCTCATTTCCTCAAACGAGAATTTCATGGAGTAATGAATAAAATAATTATTAGAAATTATATTCATAAAATCCTCTGACTATAGATAGACAAGAGAATGCTGCGTTAAGACAGTATGTATCATCTGTTTTCTGCTGTTAAATTATTCTGTTTTCGTTTAAATTATCTAAGAATGTGTTTACTAATGAGATACTTTCATTTCGTTTCATTCAAGTGTACTTCGTGAAGTACCGATAAGATATTGAATGGATGGAGAAATTCAGAAATGTTACGTTTATGAATATAATCTTTCATATGCCTACGTTTTAGTTTAATATCCATTATTATTATCATCTGTTAATTGCATATTTCACATTTTCTGATCCTCTCGTATCGTGAATAAGTAACAGTAGAGAAAAATGGGTACGAACGATTATTCTAACTTATTTCCTTCGTAACTCAATTACCTACAAATCGAGATATTACTTAATGTGTTAAGAAGTACAAAGCAAAAGAAAAAAACTGGTCTCAGTTTTTCAGCCCCTCCTTCCGCTCAGAAACCTATCTCGGTAATAACAAGCCTGGTCTGGCCGAAAATTTCAGAGAATGTTGAACACATTGAGAAATAGTTACGTTATAATTTCTGAGGTCCCATCTATCATCGTTTAAGAGATGTCGTTCGACCACGGATCAAAATGCAGCATCTGCCATCCGGCAGATTTCTCCTCTCAGAAAGCAGCTAGAGAGTTCGCGTTGGTTTTAAGCTATCGAATTAAGTTAAAGTAACAACGTAAAAGAGTTAGACTTCTGAATTTTTTCTTTGTTTTATTTTCCGAAGAACTTTACCTCAAAAGTTCGAAAAAATTGGTATATAACTTTCAACAATGTAAAAGAATTACAGCCTAAATCAAAACTTAGCTCTTTTACGCCATTCCCGTGGCCATTCGCTTCAATTTAAGACTAACCCAAGCTCTCCAGCTTCTAAAATGGCGAAGAAATTTAATAAATAGTGTTGGCTACCAAACGAAAAAGCGCTTGTGAGATGTGATAGTGCAAGTGTGCGGCGCCTCTTTTTGGCCTTTTCATATAACTTTTATAACTCTTCATTGAAACATCATCCGAAGGTGATAGACGTCTCGCTTTGATCACAAATGTCTGCTCTATAATATAGTATCATCGAGAGAAAGTCTTGGTTAAGGTTTTCTATCAATTTAAGGTGACTTTTCAAAAAGTCAGTTTTCGAAAGTTTTTAAAAAGCTTTCTTCCGTTTTCACAAAACTACACTAGTAGAATCCAACATTTTGTTTAGTAGGCAACAGTTTCTCTAATAAACGTAATACTAACAATGCAGCTGTATACAATTTCATAATAATAAATTCTTATTTTTTTAAATTTAAAAATATAGTATTAAAAAAAATAAGAATTTATTATTATGAAATTCTATACAGCTGCATTGTTAGTATTACGTACACTAGCAGAACCTTTTTTGATGAATGGTTTTTAATTTCCTCGACGTTCCTTTTCTGAAAAGCGTTTAAAATCCGAACAGATTACTGATCGAGTCCAGTGATCTAAGATTTTCTCCAGAATAAAAGCAGATAGATCTTCTGTATGCGCTGGAATAATTTGTGCATTACGTTGTATGCTTCAAACAAAAAAAAGGTATGTTAGACATGGATTGTGATAAACTAGGAGCAAATCACCACAATCAAAGTAATTTGCGTTGATTGTAATGATTTGCTTCCAGCGTTGATTCCAAGCATATCTCAATCGAGTTCATGTGATTGTTCGTGAGAAAAATGTATGCTACTAAGGGAAAAATCATTGGTACATTTTACGGCTCCTAGAAAATACTTATAAGTTTTCGATGTGAAATCTTTCAGAATTACGCGTTACATCTTATTCTGATGAAAAGAGTCTGTATTAATTAAAAAAAATTGATTGACATTAGAATCAAAAAAAGGGAAGATTTTGACAAATCTAATTTTAGGGCGCCAGTAAAATTCTTTTTCAAAACGCACTTCTGAATAGTGCAGGTGCACGCTTTTGTTGTATTTATTTCAAAGATGTGTTCTGCTCAAGGAATCGACTTTCCAGGAGATGGAGGAAGAACTGTTAAATCATGGAAAATAGGATGATGAAAAATATCTTATTTTCGTAGAAAAAAAAGAGTTTATTGTGCAGAGTGCATATAGACGTATTCACTCCATTAATTTTTTTTTTATCTGTTCATGATGTATCGCGTGTTTAACAGAGCAGAGAATCGGTATACCCAAGTTTCATCTTTTGCTTTTGATCTATAGCGCAGGTACTATCTGAAATAAAAAACGAGAATTATTTTAGAAAAAATATTAAATAAAATGCGTGGATGCAGGAATTGTAAGCTTTTGTATGTTTAACATTATATTCGATCTGTGGTGTACTAATAACAGGTAATAAATATGTGACGCACTATGTTCTTTCATTTTATTTTATTATATATACTTTAATTATTATCAAATTGATGCAATTCAACTTTTGTGGATTATATACACAGAGAAAGAGAAAGTGAAAGAGAGAAACCAGTACTTTAAAATTGCATCGTATATTATCTGAATACTATTCGCTTATAACACGTATTTAGATTTCTTATAGTAAATCCAGTGGTGTCAAGTTCGACAACTCCTTGAAAATGGCTAGAATATAGAAAACTCGACCTACTCAACGCTTACTATTATTAAAGATTTTGGTAGAATTTTAATTCGATTTCTATCAGAATCTGGCAGAATTCCAGCGGAATTAAGTAGATTCTGCCAGCAAACAGATTACCAGGCAGAAAAGAGTAAGCAAAGAAATCTAGCTTATCAAATAACTCAGGCACCCGCTTAACCGTATATTTTTTGGGTCACCGAGCAAGTGCCCACTTGCTAGCTGCAAGCGGCCGATCCAGTGAGCGCTTAATTGAGCGATTAGTGTCGAATTCAAACACATCAGCTAGCTTCAACTCACTTAAGCTAACTTTGACGGGTTAAAAATTAGGTCAGGTAGCTGCAAACGCCCACTTCACGATCTTTTTTTCTGCTTGGGTTCGTAAGGAAGAACTCAATGCATAAGTGAGGGTGGGTGACGCTAGAGTGTGAGAGTGAGAGATGATTAGATCAGTTCTACTGAATACTACAATTTCCACGGAGTTAGAGAACTTGAAACCACTCAATAATTACACATAATAAAAAAATTAAACAAACAAAATTTTTAGATATGATGTTTCCTTATGTATTTGTCAATAATCAATTCCGTGAGTAACAATATTGCATTGGTGGGTATAGAACTACAAATAATCTTAATTATTATTCTATTCTCGAGAATATTAGATCACAAAAATGTTTCTTTATTAAGAATGGTGAGAAAAGATAGTGTATTTGG